AGCAAAGCTCCTACTGCGCCTACACCAGCAACCAGTCCAATAATAACTCCAATTGGTGGCAAACCCCCACCAATAGCTCTCCCTGTGTTCACGTCATACCGAGCAAACCTCTTCTTCGGCGCCTGGCACTGGGGACATATGTAGGTGTCGGGCTGCAAAAGACAGACCAGATGTTATGGACATTTAAAACTCATATCTTGTGAATAGGTATAAATCAATGCAGATCTTATGTGTACAAAAGTGAAGGCATATAACATATTTGAGAAGAGCCATAGAAAAGAGATTATGAGCATAAATAAGGGATGCCGGTTTTCCCACAGTCACATTCTTTTACATCACTTTCTCTTCAAATATATAAATGCACGAATGTAAGGGATTTAGAAAGGTTGTGCTTCATTTTGTCTGATGGCAATTTATCAGCACATGAGAGAAACAATGAAAATGCAACCACTTAATGGGCAAACAGACTATATGAACACCATAATGGGAAGAAGAAGCAAACCATCTTCTTGTGCTAGTTTTCTTTGAAGAAAATAAAATCTTTTTTTTTTTTACAGTGTTGTATGATTGATATGCCTTTCTGCTCTTACCTGCTCATCGAAAGGTTTCTGTAAAGTGTATATGAATCCACAATCAAGGCAAATGTGAGTAGCTCTAGCCTGCATGCATTGTGGGGCACCTTATTAGCCGTTGAATGTAAAACACATGACAATGTAATCATGGGCCTAGAAGATAAATAGACATGAAGATGCAATAGTCATTACTTGCCTTTTGAGCCTCACTCAATTTTCTTCCGAACCGAGGAGGGGCAGGGCGTTTTGGAAGTCTTTTAACATCTACATCAGCACCTCTTCATTAAAAAAATTGAACATATTATAACTTGATAACTCGTGATAACCGCCAATAAGCATGACAAAGTAACCAAGATTTCATGAAAATCACACAGCCATCAAAGCCCTAATATCTCAATCCTTCCCCGTCTTGCACATTCACATGTATGCTATGCATTTGATGCTGTTCCAACAAACTGATAGCATAATTAGTGTTGTAGAAACAGATTTCATGAAGAACATAAAGCGTCACTTAATGCATACCAAAAATTAATGCTGATCAGATTGATTAGTTACTTTTGCCCATGATGTTTTCATATTATTTGCCCCTTTGGTTAATTAAACTAGGTGTGCCAGAACTTGTCAAGCTATCTATAATACTGATTTTTCATTGTTTGTCCCACCCCAACCATGCTTCATTGGCATGATTACACACCATATGCATTATGAAACATACTCGCGAAGCAAACCAGTTTTTCAGCATCCTACCAGGATTCGTCAGGCCAACTAGGAATTAAAGGAGGCATCATATTACAAGATAAGTAGAAACTAGAATAAAGATTTTTATGAGCATAAGTTATAGACAAATTCGAGCTGTGTTTACATGCATTTGCGTATGCGTGAACTAATAGCAACTTAGTCTTCTAAGAATTGATGCATTTAGGCTTAAAATGCGTGGAATGAAGAAAACCTGCTGACAACAAAGTAGACAGAATCAGGCTTTGCTTGAATGGCAGTTTTTGTAAATCCAAGCTTATCAGCTGGCCACAGTTCATCCCCAAAGAAACTGCTGGTATACAGAACTTGGTCCCCTGCTTTCAACCCTGCTTTAGCTGCATTCCCACCACCATCCACACCCTAAAACAGACCATAAGTTTCCATTAACAACTTAAAAAACTAATATATATTGGCCAGTTTGGCATCACAAGGAAGTAGCATTTGTTTCTTACGACCATATGTTTTCATTACTCAACAATGACTGTATTTTTATATTTGTTTTAATCTAAGGACATTTGGCCAAAAGAAAAAAGAAATCTAAGGATACATGTATCATTTTTATCTATCTTCCAATCCTCTTTTCATTTTCATCCCTAACATTTGGCCTGCCAAAAGTGAGCATGTTTAAACTAAGCAGAATTCCAAAGGGCCAAAAGACAGGAAAGTTTTGAATTTTGAACCTAAATAAAAAATTATCTAAACTAAATTTCTGTTCGCTATTCTCCCATTCTCTACAATTTGAACATATGCTCTTGAAGACATTGATAAATTAAACACACACTCCTCTAACCAAATTAAAATTCCAAAGCAAAATAGCTTTCACATGCAGTAAGAATTCTAACAGAAATCATCAAAGTCCTGTACAAAACAACCGCATCAAGCTTTCACAGTGCTGTTTGCTGTACATAATAAACTGGGGGAAGAATACCTTTGAGGAAATAATTGAATTGGGACGAGCTGATGACGACATGAACAGTAATCACCAAACTGGCTAAAATTTCTCATTAAAGGTAGAAAACAAGCAAGTTACTCACAGTGATGACGACGCCGCCACCAGATTTCTGGCCCAGGGTGAGGCCAAGTGGCTTGTCGACCTCAACCTCAATGGTCTTCGCGGCACCAGCAGCTCTAGCTGCGATCTCAAGCCCTTTTCTGGCAATGGCAGAACCTTTCGTGTTCTCAACCACAAAGAAGGAACCCGAAACAACCCTTTTGGCTTCACGAAGTGAAAGGCCCTGAAAAGACGTTTTCTGGAGAAAAGAACCAAGAAAATCATAAATTCAAATGGGCAACAAGAAAACATTACAAAGAAAAAGTGAACAGAATGAATAATACCTGGGATTGAGATGAAGGGTTAGGGACAGACCTGGACTTGGAGTACTGAAGGAGCTGAGAATTTTTTATGGTGTGGTGGTTGGAGGAGGAAGAGAAGGTGGCAGAGCATGAGGAAGAGGAAGCTGCTGCGACAACACCGGACATGGCTGATCTTGCGAGTGAGAGAGTTCAGAGTTGTGCGGATGAGAATGAAGTGAACCAATTTCCAAACGAACACTTGAGCGAAGCAAAATTACTAAATTAGAGGAAGGTGGTTCTTTTTTCCCCTCACGGTGGAAGATAACCTTTGATTGGTGAGGGAGGATGACACCTCTGCGTGCCACACGCCCTCGGCAACGTACGGCCGCCAAGTCTCCAATTATTTTAATGGGCAAATTACAAAGTAGGACCCTTACCCAATTTTAATTATTTGGTTAGGGGTTGGGAGTTGGGACGAACACTTGGTGACTGACTCAATGCCCCACCCCCCCCCCTTTTTTTTTTTTAAGTAACAGAAAAGGAATCCTCAAGACTAACTATCCAACATCAAGGGCATTGTTACAGTTCTTCTCTCTACTACTAAAAATTAGTCTAATTGATAAGGAGTGAATTCATAACTTGTAAAGTCATAAATTTATTTTGTTAAAATTTGCTGAAGTGTCTAACATTAAAATGGTAATGTAAATTCATAAAATGACATTGATAATAGAGAAAAAAAATAGATCATCAAAATGCAAATGTTTAACACTTTTTTTTCCTGCTGTTTATTTGAGTAGTTGTTCACTGCTTGTGTTTTGGAAACTGATCCCCTTCTATTCTTTCCATTACACTTTGAGGACATATTGTTTTTTTAATCCTAGCAAAATCTAGCTGAGTACCACTTAGTGAGTTCGTCTTATCACTTTAACATTGTTTATAAAGATTAATACCGCTTACACTTCTAAAGACTAACATTTAAACCAAACTAAATTTTAAAAATTAAAATCACAGGTTTGAAATTTGAAAGATTAAAATTAAACTTAAATTTCAATATCAAATTCCAAGAACAACGTTTAATTTGATTCTTTAAACCATATAGTCTAATTTTAAATACTTACTTTACAAATATAAAAATTTGATGGGCGTCGGCACGCTAGGCTGGTAGGGAAAGAATAAGGGCAACATATCCTCCATTTCCTCGTCATTTTACATGAAGAATTTTATTGGCTGTATCTCAAATATATTAAATTACATCCTAGCGTGATGAAACTATTTTTAGAAATAAGTCAACCCACTGTTGTTTAAAATTCATTTTAACTCCAAGAATTGTTTCATCATACTAGAACTAACAACATTGCTCAATTTTTTTTCAGCAAGCCAAAAAACATTGGTCAGGATAGTGAAATAAAATTTCAAAATTGTTCATGTTAACATCTTTCGGAATCATAGAAGCCGAATCAATGCACAATATATCCAACAACATGTGCCAATTAGAGAAAAGAAAAAGGATGTTATGCAGAAAAAATGTAAATAGTTCTTCAAATTTGTTAATTAAACCCCTGGAGAAGATTCTCTCTCTGTTTTTTTTTTTCAAATCCTCTTTCCCTGCTCTTCTTTCAACATTTTAACGTCTATGTTTGTGTATATATATGTATGACTTGCAAGAAACTTATATTATTTAATAGAAATATACAAGTTATAGGATAACAACCACTTGCACATACATATATTTGTTACAATGGTAATTCTAATTTATATAATTAAATAACGTAGTATAGAGAAATCAAACACATTTGTTACAAATAATTAATTTAACTAATTTTTTTAATCTCTTCAAATTAATTATTTGGTTCTTATATTAAGGACCAAAGGTAATATATAACTTTTCAACCACATTAGCCAGCCTCAAATTAGATGCACCTATGCAATGTCTGGAAAGGATTCTCTCATCTTTTTTTATCCTCTTTCCCCTCCTCTTCCTTTCGATCAACATTTGAACGTGTATGTGTGTTTGTTTGTGTGTGTATATATATATGACTTGCAAGAAACATATATTATTCAGTAGAAATATACAAGTAGTGGGATAATAACAGCATGCACATACATACATTTCATGGCCAAGGGTTTATTTTACATTTCTCTTGAAGATGCCTGGGCCATAGGTAGAACAAATCACATCAAGAAGAAGAGGAAACTGTAATAATACAAAGAGAGTTATTGGGACACTAGCAATAATAATAACAGGAAGATAAGACCATGAGCATGTATGTTGGAATATGAGAATGATGCTTGAACAAAATGCTGCCATCATGGTTAAAATGGATAAGAAGAGTGTAGAAAGGCCTATGATCAATTTTTTTGGTAAGGATATGTGGAAGTCTATTTCAGCATAACGTGAGGTGAAAATCCCTAAAAATGTCAACACAGAAGTTGTTGAGGAAAATAATGATAGTGCATGTGAGATCATGAAAAGTATAAATAACTTGTCTTTCAAAAACACTGGGTAACCAGTATTTTGATCGTACCCTCCGGGAACAGTAAAAGCTGCTGCAAACATGACAGTAACAATCAAAGCACCAACAATAGAACAAGAAGATGCTGTATCCTTCATCCATTTTTCTCCTGCATCCCTTAAATCTTTGTGAGTTTCTTTGAATATGTCTTCTGGTTGTTGACCCCGACGATTCTGAGATACCCTAAGTCCAGGAGGTACCAATCTTTCAACTTCCTGCATGCATTATTTCACAAAAATAATTATATATGCATGAATGGATGTATTTATGTGTGTGTGTGCTTTTCTTCCAACCTTGAACCATTGCATTTCACTTTGCATCTGCAGAGCTGCACCCCGGTGAAGCTGGCGGTTAGAAGGAACCAGCCTGGCTGCAACATGGAGCATGCAACCTCCGGACGGACCTACTATTGATGCCATTAAATTGTTGAAGCGATACTCATGGATTAGGCTGAAAACCCCAGCTTGACGATATTCAATAGCACAGAAGAAAGTGTTCCAATTTTCTAATGTTGAAGTCAACTGGATTAATTGTGGGCTTGTTTTTGATATTTCAGACAAAAAATCAACAAGCCCTCCTTTAGCCGCAAGGTGCAGCGCATTTATAACTATTTCACGTTGCTGCTCATTCAAAAGAGGTACCCTCCGACAAAGTAGTTTCAGAATTTGAGATGCTTGTGCATGCTTCAACTTCAGCTCATATATTTTCTTTACTCCTATATATATATTCACAACTCACATGTAACTATCTCTAGGTTGTGTTTATGAGATTTATTTGATAATGTACACATTAGGTAGGAGATGCCTCAGCATATGATATGATATACCTAACAAAGCATAGACTTTAGAGATGAACCACTGCAGTAGACCATGCCCCGCTGCAAGCAAAGTGTTAAAAATTCATAATTTACCTCATTTTTAAATCATTTGAGAGAATTTAGAAGTAAGCTTGAGTTTTTTACGCACACACGCTCTCTCTCTCTCTCTCTCTCTATAAGTATACATACCTTGAATGCTTTTATCGTCACCTTCTTGTTGAATGTCTACACAAACATTGTCGATTGTTGTGGTTGATGTTATAGGTATGGCTTCCAACAAAAGGAGAGACAAGAGAAACAAAAGAAAAATGAGCGTCACTTAATGTAAAAAAAAATGGATAGAATATATGACTTAGTTTAATAGTCTTTGCGTATAAATCGGCGAGGATGTTACAAGAGATTACTAGAGACATGTAGAATTAAATTGGAGAAAACTTAAAATACACTTCCTTTTTTCTGTCATCAAGTTTTGTAATAATAAGTATATAGATAGATTCTGTAAAGAAAGATATTTGAAAGATAGTAAGAGACCCACAGTGATAAATCCATCTTTTCCATAATCCAAGTTGACTTGCACTCTCAACTGTAGCTGGCATGAGTGCTATACTGGCAACTGGTGTCCAATTGGTGTGGTCTGCGGCAAAAATGATATCTTCACATTGTTCAAGTAGATGCAGAGCAATATCTGTAATTATTATATATAGTCATGGCAAGATGTGAAATAAAGGGAAGAAAAAACAAGCCAACAAAATTAGATAGAGAAATAATATTTGTTCCCATCAAGGGCTGGGTAGGTAGGTTTGATTACCAAGTTCACCAGCTTCGAAACATGCACGAAGAAGTCGAGAACCTAGATAGCCATTTTGGGGTTTGAGAACTTCCAATGGGGTTTCCTTATAGAGAAAACGTCCCATTTCTTTCCGACCAGCACCAATAGCCAATGTAACAGGAAGATGAAATCTCAAGTCTGGAATGTCCAGTATGTTTCTATTCTTATGAAGGATGCATTTTGCGATTTGAATGACCCCAGTCGATGCAGCAATTGCAAGTGGAGTAGAGCCATAATCGTCAACTATTTCCAGGAATTCTGGGTCAGCTAATCTCACCAACTCCTCCATTAGTTCTACATGTCCAAAAAGCGCAGCCACATGGAGAGGTGTTCCGTTTGTAACGGTAAGTTTTGCCGTCCAAGCACTTGAATGTTGCTCAAGGATTTGTTTTGCTTCCTCTAAGTTGTTAGCACATATAGCTTTGTACAAAATGCCCACGTCAAAAGAAGTTTCTCCCGCTGCATTCATGGTAGCTAACCAACAATTCACATGCACATATATATATCAGCACGAGTAGTAATTAACTTTTTCATATCAGTATGTCATAATTGAATTGTTTTTCCCCCCTAATGAAGACTGAATAACATTACTTCACAAGGAAATAAAAGGAAAAAAGTAACAAACATTAGCTAACAAAAGAATTGAGTTGTTTTCTAACTACACAATCGGGAAAGAGTTGTGCGCATATATAAAGGTTAATGTATTAATTTGTCCTGGAAGTCACTCAGAAGTCACTAGGAGCGTTGGGCATCCAAACCTTTTTTTTTGGTGGTGCAAGTTTATCCCCAAGTTTAAAATCTTAGCAATATTATCTCTTCGCGTTAAAAAACTAACGTTGACTGTTAAAATTATTATAACAGCAGCAATATTATTATATTTTAAACTTTCAGGCAAATTTGCATCCAAAAAGAGCTTCTAAGTGCCCAGTGTCTTAGAATGAAAACTTTCAAGACAAATTTGAATATTAACCCTGTTAGTAGATCATTAGATCCACCTCTCCTGGCCCAATACAATAAAACCCGCATGCAGAACGACACGTGATATCAAGACTGGTTCAAATTAGAATCTTAGGATATTATATGATATATATTAGATTGTAATCATGCAATAACAGTATCGTGAGATTATCGCAATGTACATTGTAGTTTTTTCAATGAATAGATCATCACGATTTCATCTCAGTTGTTTTCTCTTTCTTGGTATCAGAGCAGTAAGGCGCAAGCCACCATGAGTCCATCAAGTTCTCAAGAGCTCTCTATTCCTGCTGGCTCGGCCATTCAAAAGGCCACATGCTTCGCAACTTCTAACTCTTTCTTAATGTCTGTCAAGTTGGACAGACAGAACTATCTCCTGTGGCAATGCACTGTTATGCCCATTATTCGGGGACATCGTCTCGAGGGCTTTATCACTGGTACTACTCCATGCTCAGTAGAGTTCATCAAGGACAAAGATACCGAGACCATCACCACTACCACCAATCCTTCTTTCAATGATTGGCTTGCCACCGACCAGTTGCTCCTCGGATGGCTATTTACAATAATAACCCCTGAAGTAGCCACTTAACTTGTTCATTGCTCAACATCTTTTGAGCTTTGGAAAGCTACAAAAGATCTTACGAGATCATATAATCATGTCCGTATTAAACTGCTTTGAAATGAACTTCAACAAACGCGGAAAGGATCCATGTCAATGGATGATTATCTTGCGAAGATGAAATCCATCTTTGACAACTTACAACTCGCCGGTAATCCTATCTCATCTGTTGATTTAGTATCTCAGGTCCTTACAGGTTTGGATGCTAACTATAATCCCATAGTGTGTCAACTACTTGACAAAGACAACCTCTCATGGGTTGAGTTATAAGCTGCACTACTCACCTTTGAATCACGTTTAGAACAACTGAACGAGTTTACCAATCTTAATCTTGGTACTCAGTCAGTCAATCTCACTGCTCATGGCCGTGGACGATCTCATAATCGCAGACCCCCATGTGGGAGAGGGGACTCAGGCAATCGTGGTCGAGGACATCACTACCAAAATAATGATAAAGTTCAAGGCCAGTTGTGCCGTAAGTTTGGTCACTCTGCTAAGACTTGTTATCACAAGTATGACAGGACATATGATGATGGGTCAGATACTGTAAAATCTACTCCCTATCACTTTGCTTTCATGGCTACTCCAGAGACTCTTAGTGACTCAGATTGGTACCTTGATAGTGGTGCCACGACCCATGTCACTAATGATGTGAACCAGTTGGACAATCCTCGTTCTTATTCTGGCAAGTCACCTTTTATGCTGGTAATGGTAACACTCTGAAGGTATCTTATATTGGTTCTAAGAATTTGCTGATAAATAGTGGCACAAAGCTGAAACTTAAAGATATTCTACATACCCTTCATGTGATGAAAAACTTACTTAGTGTTTGGAAGATTGCCAACGACAATGATGTTTATGTTAAGTTTCACGCCTCTGTCTGTTTTGTGGAGGACGAGAGGACATGAAGAATACTACTTCGAGCAACTCCTGAAGGAGGAGGACTTTACAAGTTGATTCGAATAATTGTACAGAATAACAATGCTTCACAGCATGATAATCATTTTTTTCTCTTCTTGCTAAGAATAAAGCTGTCTCTAGTTATGAACTAGAAGTATGGCATAGGCGTCTAGGACATCCATCTTATGGTATTTTGTCCAAAGTTTTATAACTCTATAATTTTTTAGTTCCAAGTAGCAATAAAACTCCCTTTTGTGAGGCTTGTCAATTTGGAAAAATGAAAAATTTGCTTTTCGACATATCTAAATCACATGCAAAAAATCCTCTTGACCTTATACATTCTGATGTTTAGGGGCTGGCACCTATTCATTTGATTAATGGATTTTGATATGTTCATTTTATAGAGGATTACAGTCACTTTACATGGATATATCCTCTCAAAAATAAAAAGTGATGTGAAAGCTGCCTTTATCCATTTTAAGAATATGGCAGAGACTATGTTTGAACAAAAAATTAAATCCTTGCAGAGTGATGGGGGTGGAGAGTTCAAGAGCTTGGCTAATATTATTAATGACTTAGGCATACAATTTCATTCTTCATGCCCATACATGTCTCCCTAAAATGGTCGAGCAGAATGAAAGCATCGTCATATAGTTGAATTTGGTCTTTCCATGTTAGCTTAAGCAAATATGCCCTTACGGTACTGGTGGGAAGCTTTTCAAACTGCTATTTATCTTATTAACTTACTTCCTACACCTGTTCTTGTAGGAAAATCTCCTCTTTATACACTCTTCAATAAGGTTCCTGATTATAGTAGATTAAAGATTTTCGGTTGCGCCTGCTACCCTTATCTTAAACCATATAACAAGCACAAATTGGAGTTTCACATTACGCGGTGTGTTTTTCTTGGTTACAGTGGTGTTCACAAAGGATTTAAGTGCCTCTCTGCAATAGGAAAAATCTTTATTTCTCGGTATGTGGTATTTAATGAAAAGGACTTCCCTTTCAAAGATGGATTCCTTCATCACACTTAGCCTACTAAAGTTTGAACCTTTTCAATTTCAACTTTCCCAACAAGTCTTCAACACTCACAACCCATCCATCATGCTTCTAATCATGAGTTGTGCACACCAAATCACTCTCTTAGGCCTAACATTATAGACCCACCTACACCACAGGGGGAGACCACATTCTCTCAATCCAATACCGACGATTATCTCCCAAGCAGTGAATTTATGTCATCTCCTCAGTCATCCTCATCTTTAGTACCTCAATCTACTGAACAACACATTGGCCATCAAATGGTCACACGTTCAAAAAGCTTAGTTTTCAAGCCTAAACATCTATTTATTGGTGTCCTTTCACACTCCTCAGTAGAAAATGATGAACCTACTAAAGCTTCTGATGCTTTGCAGATCCCATAGTGGTATGAGGCTATGAAAGTTGAGTATGATGCTCTCATTCAAAATGGAACCTGGGAGCTTGTCGCACCTAAGAGAAATATCAATGTTATTGATTGTCGTTGGGTTTTCAAGAATAAATATAATGCTAATGGATCTCTTAATAAACAAAAGGCAAGACTTGTTGCAAAGGGATTCCAACAAGATGCTGGTGTGAATTTTGGAGCTACCTTCAGTCCTGTTGCTAAAATTACAACCATCAGACTTGTTTTATCTATCGCTGTTTCTCTTAACTGGCCAATCAAGCAATTAGATATCAAATAATGCCTTTCTTAATGGTTGGATTACAGAGGATGTTTACATGGCTTAGCCGGAAGGATTTGTTGATCCCACAAAACCAAACCATGTCTGTAAATTGAAAAAGGCATTGTATGGGCTCAAGCAAGCTCCAAGAGCTTGGTTCGAATGACTTCATAATGTGTTGCTCTAGTGGGGTTTCTACAACACTAAGAGTGATAACTCTCTTTTCATTCTATGGCAGTCAGACTACATCATTATTACTCTTATATATGTCGACGATATTTTGATTACGGGCAACAATCTCTCCCACCTACGTAAGTTTACATCAAGACTTCATGCAATTTTTAGTCTAAAAGACTTGGGTGACATTCATTACTTCTTGGGTCTTGAGATACAGAGAGACTCGAACAGACTGCACCTTGGTCAAGCAAAATATGCAATAGACATTCTCAAGAAATTCAACATGCTCTACTTTGCACCATGCAAGACGCCCATGGTTACAGCAGCTGAAGGATAACCACTTGCAAACCCAACTAAGTTTCGAAGTGCTATTGGAGCCTTGCAATACTTGACAAACACACGCCCTGACATCTCTTATGCCGTTAACCACCTTAGCCAATTTCTTAGCAGTCCTACTACAGCACATTGGCAAGCTGTAAAGCTGATGTTACGTTATATCAAAGGTACTGTTTTGCATGGTTTATGTTTAAGAAGATCGAAGCACCTTGATCTTGTGTCATACTCTGATGCAAATTGGGCTGCCTGCCCAAATGATAGATAGTCTGTGACTAGGTATTGTGTATATATTGGAGGATCCCTCATTTCATGGTCATCCAAGAAGCACAGCATTGTTTCTCGATCAAGCACGGAGTCAGAATATCGAGCATTGGCAAATTGTGCAGCTAAGATTGCTTGGCTTAAGTCCCTTTTAATAGAGTTGAAGTTCCCACTTAAACGAACTCTGATCATATGGTATGATAAAGTAAGTGCTGCGACACTCTCTAAGAACCCTGTTTACCACTCCCGCACAAAACATATTGACATTGATATTCACTTTGTGCAAGATTAGGTGCTTGCTCATCAACTTTCTGTATGCTATGTTCCTACTCGTGAACAGATAGGTGACCTACTCACTAAACCTCTAGGTCACACTTAGTTTGTCTATCTACGTAACAAGCTCGGGGTATGTTTGGGACCCTCTCGCTTGAGGGCGACTATTAGTAGATCATTAGATCCACCTCTCCTAGCCCAATACAATAAAACAAGCATGCATAA